GCAGCTTTGGAGAAGAATGGCAAAGTGCTTGCCAAGAAGCCGGAGGGGTCTGACAAGCATGTCAAGATCAGAGAAGTCACCCTTCCGGAGGATTTGCTTAGCTTGGGCTTCCGGCAGTTCAGGCCGAGGGGCTCTTCGGATGAGAGATACCCTCCCCTCGATAGGGTCTTCGAAGGCGCCGGAGGTGATCACCGAATTGTTCACTGATGCGTTGATAGTTCTCTCTTATTCCGCTTTTTTTTATGGCGTAGTAACTGGTAGCCTTCGATCTAACCCTCCTGTTTTTTTTTGTTGCTTGCAGGTAACAATATGGACGTTGGTTCCCTCTTCGCTTTGAAAAACGCGAAAGGGAAGAAGAAGACCCCGGCGGGCGCTTCTGCCAGGGATGGGCCCTCTCAAACTGCTGGCGCTGCTGCTGGCGCCGGAGGGTCCAAGGGTGCTGGGCCGGTTAAAAAGAAGATTGCTGGAAAGGGGACCGAGCCCCCGGCCAAGAAGCCGAAGACCACCGCCCCTACCAAACAACCGATCACCGATGTGGTGGTGATTGTGGACGAAGGGCACGCTTCTGCCTCCACCCCCCAGGAACAAATCAATCAGGAGTTCTTTGGGCAGGAGAGGTTGGAGGCGTTAGTACCGAAGGGGGCCTCCGTGTTGGAGGGCAGCTTGAACCCTTCGGCTCTGATGAGCCAGATGCTGCCGTCGGCCGACCGACTGGTCCTTGCCCGGCTGGACGAGGGATCCCTCGAGGCGAAGGTCCTCCTGAATGCTGCCTCCGTAAGTCACCCTCCCTTCTTTGCTCATTGTTATGTTTTCCTTCTGTTTTATGTTCATTATGCCTTATTCTTGCCTTCGTGGTATGCAGACTTTTATGGGCCTCTGCGAGCACCTCCGAAGGGTGAATCAAATGAGGGAGGCCAAGGGTGCCGCCGAGGGGGAGGCCGCCCTCCTCAGGAAGAAGCTTGCTGAAGCCGAGGACTCTCTCCGGCTGGCCACCGACGGCATGGAGCAGAGGGTGCAGGCTGCAAGGGCCGAAGGGGTCAATGAGGGGCTAGCCAGGGCCGGGGAGGCCGCCCGTATTGCTGCCGATGAAGCCCGCGCGGCTCAAGAAGAGGCCGTCTCCAAGGCCCGAGAGGATGCGGTGATCAGCTTCACGGCCGAAGGGTGGAAGGCCGAAGACCGGAGGGAGTGGCTCGCTTCGGTGGTGGGGGCTTCAGTAGACGAGTGGGTCGGGGGCCCCGGAAAGATGTGGCTTGCCGAGAGGGGCGACTCGTACTACCAGTGCGGGGAGTTCTTCACCCAACGCCTCATCTACCGGAAGCTTGCGAAGCACTTTCAGGTGGCACCGGAGGAGTTCCGTCCGGAAGCTTATGGTCTCCCCCCCCCCCCCCCCCCCGCCAGCCAGATGTCAGGATCCCGCTCCCCGAGGGGGAAGAGAGGCCAGTTTTTGAAGACTCGGAGACCCTCCGGGAGTGCGGCCTTGGCGGTGAAGAGGATGAAGCCGAGAGCGAGGCGATATCTACAGTTCCCCCTTCTTGAATTGTATCCCCCCTTTTTGTGTTGTAATTGTTGGCCTCGGCCCCCTTTGTAAAGCACAATCAAACTTCTTCTTTTTTTGAATGAATGAGTACATCTGCCCTCGGGCCTTTGATATACAATCTGCTTCCTTTTGATTTGTTCATGGTCGAATACATGCCTTCGTCTTGCTTTGGATGTATGCCTTGGTCCTTTGAATGTATGTTTTAGGACTTAGAATATTTTCTGATTGTAGCTTGCCCCTGGAAACCTTCGGTAGTTGGGCACCCTCTGCTGGATATGCAACCGAGGGTTCTGTAGGAATTAGGACTTAGAAAATTTTTCTAAGTGTAGCACACCTTAGGGCCTTCGGGTGTTTGCAGTAACCCAATTCCTAGGACTTAGAAAAATTTCTAAGTGTAGATTTTCCCTTGGGAGCCTTCGGGAGATGGCATCCCTTTATGATGTGTGAATATTGGACCGAGGGCCCAATGTACAGGGCTTAGAATTTTTTTTTGCAAGTGTAGTATGTCACGTAGCCTTCGGCTACTGTGGAGTCTTAACTGAAATATTGAATAGGCCGGGGGCCAATTCTTTAGGACTTAGGAAATTTTCTTGAGTGTTGATTCCTTGTGTACTGTAGCCCTCGATTGATAGGTAGCCTTCGGCTATTGGGTCCCTTTATAAGTTGAGGGTGAAATATGTAGGACTTAGAAAGATTTCTAAGTGCAGTTTTTCCCTTGGGAGCCTTCGGGAGATGGCATCCCTTCTTGATGTAAGAGTAGTTGACCGGGGGGAAAATATGTAGGACTTAGAAAATATTCCAAGTGTAGATCTTCCCTTGGGAGCCTTCGGGAGATGGCATCCCTTCTTGATGTAAGAGTAGTTGACCGGGGGGAAAATATGTAGGACTTAGAAAATATTCCAAGTGTAGATCTTCCCTTGGGAGCCTTCGGGAGATGGCATCCCTTCTTGATGTAAGAGTAGTTGACCGGGGGGAAAATATGTAGGACTTAGAAAATATTCTAAATGTAGATTTTCCCTTGGGAGCCTTCGGGAGATGGCATCCCTTCTTGATGTATGGCCTTCGACTGTCATATTCCTTTAGCTGCAATACTGATTGAGCCGGGGGCCCATCTTTAGGACTTATAATTCTTTTTTTTTTGCAAGTGTTGTTGTATCGCCTGGCCTTCGGCTACCATATTCCCTTGGCAGTAATATTGATTGGGCCGGGGGCACACACTCTGAAGAGTTGTGGAGTTTGACTCAGCCAGTTGTGTCCCTTGTAATGGGGTAGGGACCCTCGGTATTAATGTATAACAGATGCCTTCGGTACATATTTGAAGGTACCGTATTAGTGTACTTTGGATAGTCCAGTTCCTTTGTATTGTTGAAGCCTTCGGTGTTTGTGTGACCGGAGGTGACTAGGCAGTGGACTTAGCCGTTCCTTGCTGCTATTTGTTCGAGTAGTATCCTTCGGGAAATAGGAGCCTTCAGTTACCGGAGGTACTCTTTGATTGTAGGGAGCCCTCGGCTTGTTGTGATCTGTTGGAGTGTACTCTTTGATTTCTCGCTGAGTCTACTCCCCTTCACCCCCCCCCCCCCCCCCCCTTTTCTTTTTTTTTTTGGTTGGTGGTGAAGGGAAGGCATCAAGAAACTTGGTTTCTTGGTAAGGCTGGGCCTATTAGGAGACCATCAGAATACACCAAGGGCTCTCCTCCCTCGGGTTAACCTTCCGAGTTCCGAGGGGATCGAGGGACGTTTCCTGGGCACAAGATATGGTGGTCCGTAACCTGCCTCCCCTTGGGGGATGGCGCGGAAAGCGCCTCATTTTTGAAAGTCGTCCCCTCGGCGCTAGACATTGTCCGTGGCCTGCCACACCCTTGGGGTGGTGGCGCGGGGAGCGTTTCGGTTTGGAAGTCGAATCCTGGGCATTTCTCATGCCTGTCATACCCTGGGGGTAGTGACGCGGATAGCGTTCCGTTTTTGAAAGTCGAATCCTGGGCATTTCTCATGCCTGTCATACCCTGGGGGTAGTGACGCGGAAAGCGTTTCAAGGAAGGGTTTTCATTTGCACACTAGTTGCAAATGGCCGGGGGCACTACGTGCCGCCGGCACCGATGGTGGCGCCTTCTGTATATGCGTCCTCGTGGGGTACGGCTTTTAGAAACAACACTTGGTGTTAGTTTCGATGTGTAGCCCCCGGTACTTGGTACCGAGGGGTCTTCTGTAGGAACACTTGGTGTTCTCTTTTGTTGTAGTTGATGTAGGCGTCTACTCTCGGTACTTGGTACCGAAGGGTCTTCAAATGAAACACTTGGTGTTTCCCAACAGATGTTTGAAAGTTGATAGGAGAGCATATCCCTGGCACTGGGTGCCGAGGGGTCTTCTTTAAAACATTCTGGTGTTTTTTTTTCGTTTCGATGTTTGATGATGGAGGTGTACCCTCGGCACTGGGTGCCGAAGGGTCTTCTGTAGGAACACTTGGTGTTCTCATCTTTTCTTTTTTGATGATGAAGGTGGGAATGTACCCTCGGCACTAGGTGCCGAAGGGAAATGAAACACATGGCGTTCCTTGTTGTTGGTGATAGGAGTTCCCTCCCTCGGTACTTGGTACCGAGGGGTCTCTGACTGAAAACACGTGGTGTTTTCACTGTTTGTAGTAGGAGTCTGTGGGCCGGGGGTTCCCGGGCCATATACTCCATCATATAACTACGTGGATTATATGAATTTTTTTATGTCCTATTGAGCTTGCAACTTTCTTGTGTGGATTATAAGATTTTTCTTAAAATCATGAAAATTTCTTTCTACTTTACCTTTAATATATTTGTGAATGAAATTTAGGCAAGTTTGTGCAACCAAATTTAGTGTTATTCCAATTTTTGTAATCTTTTAATATAGTAAAAAAATAAGATTTATACGCTCCCTCTTTCCCAAAATGATTTGTAAAGTATACTTTTCTAGACAAACACAAATGGCTTCATTTACTTATTATATCAATTTTTATTACAATTTAATTTACATTTTATGACTTTATAGAACACATAATAATTTATTAATGTGGGAAAAAATCTCCTGCGTTAGAGAGCATATAAAAGTCTCGTGTGTTGATGACATTAATGTGTGGGATCTAAAAAGAATTCTATCCAATGGAGTTGTTATACATGAGATGCAGGAAACTTGCAATGTAGATTGTAGAGCATGTAGGCTAATATCACATATCCCATAAAATAGTACTCATCTCAATTTGGATCGGAGTTTAAGAAAGTGGAAATAAAGTAGAAATGTATGATTGTGGTTGAGTAAGAAAAAAGTAAATGAATGTTAACCACACAAAACTTTTCAAAAAGGGAAATGGGAACAATTTTTTGAGACGGCCCAAAAAGGAAAGTGAGAGCTATTTTATGGGACGGAGGGAGTATTTATTTAAAATGTTGATGCCATAACCCAAAGTTGTAATGTGCGTGAAAATAGAGACACAAAGTATACATATAAGATACTTTAAAAAATGTGTAGAATTGAAATATCATTAAAACTCAAGACATAAAATGATCATCGACAATGCAACATATGTTGAGAGCTCACACAGTGATGTGCAACTGACCGAGTCGCCACGACCTTATGAATTATGATAGTCCGACAAACGTTCATCGGTTCATGGCAAAAAAATGGACAGATACAGCCAGCACATAATGGACAGACATTATGCCGGGTTCAACTTTCTTAGTCAGGAAAGTAATTTGTTCAACCCACACCACAGACATACACGAAAGCTGACTAGCATGAAAATCTCTAGTACAACAATACAGATATGGTTTAGTATGGTACATTCTTTGGGAGGACTCGGATAACATTATTTCTAATACCAATCTTTGTGCGCATGGCCTCAGGACCAGATCTATTCATGGCCTTCAGCACTTTCATCTTAACCATGTTCTCTCTCGACTGCACAGTTGCGAGCCCCATGCTTCTATACCTGGAAAGAGAGACATTACATTGCTTGTAAGAAGACTAAAAGTTGGAACTCGGAAAATATTAAGGAAAGGAATACTCATACAAAAATTAAACGAAAAGATGGGCTGTAACTCCTACACTTATTTTAGGTAATTGTTGATGCTCATTTTATTTATGTAGGTCTCTTACATAAACACTACATAATAAAAAAAATTAACAAAATCATATTTTATTTCCCTTTGCATTTTCCAAGCTAACACAGTACACGAAAATAACTTTCCATCTCATTTTTTTCTTTGCCTAACACTTACCCAGATCCATACATACTCTAAAGGCGGCACTGCTTGGTTCAATTTACTAAGACTCCTTTGGTAATGTTAGATTACCCAATTCCATTGGAGTTATAAGATTACCCAAAAAAGGTAAAGCAAAATTACATTGTTGGGTAACTTGGGTTCAAGTTTTGAGATTACCAGGGTAATCTTAAAATACTGCTGGAAAATGAGATAATATTAAGGTAATCTGATTATCTTGGATTTCTTAGCTGGTGTAAGATTACTTTGGTGATTTTCTGCTGTTAAATCACAAACTCTTGAAGTTTTATAAACAAATTAGTATTACATTTTTATTATCCTAGGCAAACCCACCTGGTAATATTCTAACATTCCTATAATCTCATTTTATCTAGGTAATCTTAGGTTCTCATAAGAACATATTATCTTCTTTCAGTTATCACATTTTCTAAGGTGTCCTTGAATTCCGCGAACCAAATGCTTTCATAGAGATATATAATCATGATTGTTAAAGCCACTTAATAGAGACAATGCCCAAAAGAACCTGGAAGCTAATGCAGCTGTGAGAGCAATATCGCCCTCATGAGTAGGCCTCAGTTTCTGGCGGTAATACCGCAAAAACTCTCTGGATCCAATTGTTTTGGTAGACAATCGGTTATCAGTCCGTTTCTTAATTATCAGCTCAGCTCCACCACTTCCAAGCTCAACCCCACAACCAGTGTCATCTGACGCAACCAGCTCTTTTCCATTTGAGTCCACGTAGCTAAGAAACAAAGAAGACAAATAGCAATTATTTATTAATGGCTATGCACACATCAGCACTCTGAAACAACAAGAGGGGGGTATCTTTGTGTGGTGTAGGACTGTGGGGATCGGAAGGGAAAAGACCACTCCCTTTGCCCCCTTCCATGCCTAAGAAAAATGAACGAGCCCTATTTTAAAACTTACTTTTGTCTAGAAAAAGGAGTCATATTTCGACCACAGCCTATTTCTCATTCAATTATATGATGTATTTTTTCAAAAAATTAAAAAAATAAAACATTCCGGACACCTTAATGTGCTAAATTCAGTTCAACAAAACAAATAAACTTAAAGGCATAAGTTTGAATGGAGGGAATAAAATAGAAATTGATAAAAGATTTTACCTGCTGGCATAGTCATAAAACTCTTCTAGTTCTGCATCTTCATCATCACCTCCATCACCATAGCGCACTTTACAGTGACTCTTTGCTTCCATATGCTTCCTAACTCCTTCTAAACTGCTGAAAGGATGGCATCTGTCATTGCAATAGAGACAAAAGTGGTCCCTCTTAACCTGATTTCAACAAATCAACAAAAAAATACATGAAGTACAACCATAAAAAAATTAAAATATAACTATAAACCAGAAAAATATGAAAAAAATAACATATTGAAGTATATTTATGAACATCACACTACTGCCACCAGTCCACCATCTCAAAAAGAGAGCCATCAATGTATGATGTTTTAACTTTAGTAAAGTACAACTACTGGAATACATAACATCTAACTACATTGATATATTGGTTTAACTAAATTTAGCATACACCCTCTTATCCAGAAATTTTATATCCACTTTCTCTCTTTTTTCTTTTTATCTTCTCTATCTTTCTTATGTAAGTTATGTTCTTTAGTCTTTACCCTTTTATTCGTTTTATTTTACATATTTTCTTTTTATCCCCTTTATCTTATCATTTTTATATTTATCTTATGATCTTATCCTTTCTATTTTACCTTATCTTTTTATCTCTCTTATCTTTCTTTTCTTTTTGGCTCCGATATCATGTATCGATACATGTTAACCGATCCCAAGATCTTTTGGGACTAAGGCTTGGATGTTGTTGTTGTATTCATTTACAGGAAAGCAATATGCGCTACACAACATTTCTCTCTTCTAAATAAATCTCAACCACACATTTTACCTTTCTTAAATCTTGTGTCTGGTTGGTGAGTTACAGTTTTGGGACTGGAAGAGTATTTGAAACACCTTTTTTTAAACCATATGCAATATAATAAATATTAGAAAGGACCCTTTTTTGGAGATAGATAACTTCCAAAGGACTCTTTTTCAGGGCGGATGCATTAATACAAACCACTGCATGCATATGAAAGAAGGCCATGAGCAATTGAGCATTAAACTTGTGAGCAGATTTATATACCTTGAGACCAACATAAGTCAGAAAGCCTTTTGGATCCTTCAGATACTCAACATCAGGAATGAAAAATCCATGTTGTTTGTGCATGTGAATCATACAGCTTTCTATTGTTCTAAGCTTTAAATCACACATGAAGCAACATGATGGATCCAGCTCTTCATCATAGCCCTCGTCATCCATATCACCGTCTTGCATATTCCCATTATAAGTATGTTCATTTAACTTGAGTTGCATCAAAGGATCTTCTTCCATGGGATCAACCTCCTCCCACTCACTCTCGTCACTTTCATCAATATCTATCTCCTCTACCTTTTGAGATGAGCTATCAAAATTCAGGTGCGGGAGAGGTCTGATTATAACATTTCTATCATCATCAGGATTTGGCATTTGTGAAGCCCTTAACAAATGGCTCTTTGATTCCAAATGCTGAGAATGAGCCTTGGCACTTCGGTACCCTTTCCCACACACACCACACTTATAGAGCATTGGAGTTTCGGTTGACTTTTTCTTTGCTTCTGCGATGACAGACTGTCTGGCAAGGAAGAGAGATTCTGTGACCCCTGGAACTCCTGCAACCTGTGATAAATACAGGCGAGTTGATGAATTTTGAAACAAGCATTCAGGTATACAACCACTGCATATTAAATCATAGAAGGCAAATATGATCACTGATCTTAGCATTTAATTCCCCCGCACACATTATTTTGGATGCAGCTTGCTAAATTATCAAGAAGATATAGTTGAGCCAATAAAACATGAAAGAAGCTATGTAAGCACTTAAAGAAATAATATCCACACTCTTGAGAGGCCAACTGGTATCTTGCCCAATAAAAACGAGGCTACAAGGCAGCCCTAATAATAACTCACAAAGTGCGACACTCAGAAATAGGTCAAATAACCAGCGAGCTACTCTGCACTTCTGCAGTAGGATGAACAACACCCGCAGAGCTGCTAAAACTATTTATCCTCTTCTACCTTCTAGCGAGGTCAAAACATCCTGAGCAACTCTTTTTTTCCTTTTGATTGATCCATCTTAACATCAAAGATGTATGTTACCTATTACAGTTGGTTGGTTGCAGTCTGTTACACCCCATGAATAAATATCTTCCTCTAAATGATCAAATAATAACCTATGAAGATTCTAATATGATCCACAACCCCTAACCATATCAGAATGGGCGCTACTGTAGTATAAGCAGTTACGGATGAAGCTTCCTAGTCTCCTCTTCATTCCAAGCTACTCTTGTGCAAAACCTAACAATCATTTCTACAATTCATATTCACATTACTGCAAAGTATTCAGCAGGCTCTTCAAATTCCAGTTTGTTGAGCTGAAATTTAGGTTCATGAGTTCATCACCGAAACTATCCTAAACTTCATTTTCTAGCCAATTGACTCACTTGAGAGAAGCCCGATGCAACCCGAAAATCTATATGCTGCAAATGGAGAAGCGAAGAAAGTAAAGGTTATAACCTTGCGTTTGAGGTTGTAGCAGTGCCATTCGGATCTGTAATGAAGCTTCTGGTCCGATTCGTCATGGAATTCTTTGTTGCAGGCGTTGCAAGTTAAACCCGGCATTTCTTCCCAGATTGGATTTTGGATACAGAATTGGGTTTACGCCGTTGGCGGCGAGTATATAAAATGTCAGATTTTTACGTGTCAAAATAGGCTGAGTTGGTGTCTTCTTGATCAACCCTACTGCCTTTGGGCTATGGCCATCGCCATTTAGGGACGGTTCCCAGTGCAATTTTTTGATGAAATTTTTTGAACATTTTGTTCATTAAGTCTAGTTTACTCATACCAAATTTCACATAATAATTCAACCGGAAAGACAGTCAAATGATTTTCTGAAATGTACTGTGTTGTTTAATTGCGTAGTTATCTTCAAAAATTCATTTGACTGCCTTCTCAATTGAATTTTTAGCTGAAATCTGGTATGAGTAAATTAGACTTAATAAAGAAGATGCTCAAAATAATTCATCAAAAAATTCCACTGGTAACCGCCTCAAAAAATTCCACCGGATGATTTGCAATTTTTAAGTTAGTTCGAGATCTTATTTGACCTTTTTTCATTTCTTTAATATACTAAATCGAGCCTTGCAATGTTTAAAAATATAAAATGAGGTGATCTTATTAGGGAGTGTTTGAATCTACTTCTTAAAATTGTTTCTGTTTCTTTTGATAACAAAAGCATATATTGAAGTGCTTGAAGGAAAGTGCAAAAGAAACAAAAGCATATATTGAAGTGCTTGAAGGAAAGTGCAAAAGTATTATCGGGTGTTTCAAATGGACTCTAGATGCCCGTTAAAAAAAAAATTGACTTTAGAAGCAATTTTTTAGAATATGGAGTAGACCAGTTTCGAAAAACTAAGAAGCCGCATGATAGTCTTGTTTTCCGGTTTATCGTGCTTATCTGCCAACTTTTTCACCAAACACACAACTTTTGATTTCGCACGCTGAATTATGTAATAATGATAAGAAAAAGTAATATTGGAGTTACTTTCTGGCTATATTGGCTGAAGTTACTGTAGACGATCATTTTAGCTATTTTTACATCCTAGTATAATTTTTTCTCTATTTTATTAATAAAATGAGAAAGTTCCCGAAATAGGACTAAAACAGTATCAAAATTTCAAAATAGGATTGTCATGTTTTTTATCCCAAAATAGGACTAATTATTGTCATGTTTAGAAAATACTGACATGTTTGAAGTCTGGTACTGCCAAAACATGACAGTAATTAGTCCTATTCTGGGAATTAAAATATGAGAGTCTTATTTTGGAATTTTCAAAGTGTTTTAGTCCTATTTCGGGTAATATCTCTCAAATATATGTTAAATGTAATTTTTCATAAATTAGCAGAACCACTCATCCCGTCACTTCAACCAGAAATTCATAAATTTTAGCAGAATCAGCCGATTCAGCCGATTTTTGTATTACCAAACGGGCTCTAATTTTGATTCTGCTTCTACTTTAATTTAAAATAAGAAGCATAATCAATTTCAAACACCCCATAAAACATTATTCATAGAGTATGATTTTAGAAAGAAATGAGAGCTAGAGTGAGAAAATATTTGCAACTAATGTTTTATCGACCCCCTACAACTACTCCAAGAGGAGTATTTATAGAGGAAATGTGATCGAGAAGGGTCAGGCCGAGGTGAGTTAATAGGCTGGTTATACGAAGTCATTATGCTAAACATAAAATAGAGTTGTCTCTTAAAGGTCATGGCGGATGGGGGGCAGGCCGAGGCGACTTTGTTCTTGATAACTTCAAGTCTGTATCTGGAACTCTTCTTCTATATAACTTTCTGTGCGGGTGGCCCTCGTCTGGCCGAGGGGCCCTAGCCGCGGGGTACTTCGTCGTCTCAAAATCTAATTTGTGTATTTGTGAGTACGTGGGCCGACCATGGACTCCGGACCCATATACTCTATCGATTACTATATAAATGCGGAGATCGAGTAAGACTAAAATGTAGAAAGCGTAAAATATGGATCATGTTGGAGATATTTTATTGTGAATCAAGTTGGTCATAGATTAACTTTATATTTAATCCTTGTATTTAAATAATGCATAAATTAGATAGAAATAAGGCCAAGTGTTAGGCCCATTTAAACAGGCCAAAAGCCTGGTACGCCTAACCTAAACCTCGCCTATAAAAAGGGAGCCGAGGTTTAGGAAAAGGTTGAACGTCGTACTTATTATTCATAGCCTTACGCTTATCATTCTGCTGTACGTTCCACGGTTTATCAAAGAAGGTTTTACGGTGATTCATTCTGTGTTCATCTTTACGTTTAATCTTCCTTGTTAGATCGATTATTCATTGCTGTTACAGAAACAGGGACTAACAATTGGTATCAGAGCCGATCGAGAACGATCAGAAGAACTCCTGCAGAATACTCTGTTTTTGTTAACAAAGTTCATTCTGTCGATTTTTTGCTCTGTAATTTTGTTTCTTGTTCAAAAGTTGTAAAAGTTACACCTTTGGAATCGCCTTTTCAAAGCGATCAAAGGGTATACTTCAGTTTGTGTTTTACGCAATTTTAAATTTCGAGATATCTCGAGCTAGGCATCTCGACATCCTACTTCTTCACAGGTTCTGCTACGTTTTTCGAGCTGAAAACTTTACCAGAAGATCTCGACATTCAACTCTACAGGAAACTATCTTCAGATTTTGTTTATCTGATTTTTACAGGTTGCAGGATTTCGACATTGAGGATCTCGACATCTAGGATTTCGAAATCTTGATTTCGAGAAAAGGATTCGACATCTGGTCTCGACATTTGACTTATCAGATTAAGATTTCGAGAGATTAACTTCTCGACATTTCAAATCTCGAGATCAGCATCTCGAAATTTGAAATCTCGAGATCCTTAATCTCGAGCCCAAATCTCGATACCGGGCCTCCTTTATCGAAATCTGAGATTTCGATATTCAGATCTCGACATCTGATTTTTCGAGATTCTGCCTCTGAAAATCTTTCGATCAATTTTCTCGAACGGTCAGTTTAGTACAGCAATGGGTTCAGAATACAATGCACAAGGGAACAGCAGTACCCCTCCTAGCCTCAGGAAGGGAGAATATCAAATGTGGAGGAACAGATTTCTAAACTTCCTCGAGCACAAAGAGAACTCTTCTGCAATGCTCGAATCTTTGCTTGAAGGACCAGCTGAACTCTTGATTTCAGTTGGTGGAGATCCAGAGAACAATCCTCCTATTTTTCCAGAAATAAGGAGAAAAGTGTCGTCTGAATACACAGAAGCTGACAAGCTCAGACTTCGTGGTGATCTTATGTCCAAAACGTACCTCCTTCAAGCAATACCAAATGAGGTTTATGTTCTCATAGATAACATGCAGACAGCTAAGGAAATGTGGGATGAAATAGAGAAGCTGCTACAAGGCACAAGCATCAGCCTCAAAACAAAGAAGACTACGATTCTCATCCCTTATGACTCCTTCAAAGCAGGTCCAGGAGAACCATTGAATGAGACTTACAACAGACTTGTTCAACTGGTAAATGAACTCAGAAAGATCAAAGTATTCAGGTCCAATCTGGAACTGAATATTAGATTTTTATCCAGCCTGCATCCTGCATGGGAAAAGACAGTGAAGGATGTCAGATCTCGGATAGATTTGGACGAAATTGACCTCTGCACACTCTATGAACATCTGAAACAATTTGTCAACGAGGTTGCCTTTGCTGAGGATCATCACACCACAAACCCCTTAGCTCTAGTAATGGAGGCTCAGCCAAGAAGAACAACCACTTCACTAAAGAAGAAAAAGAAGAAGGTGGTGGTTGAATCAGATGATGATGAGAGTGATGATGACAAATCTGATCTAGAGGCTGAGCTAGCTGACTTACAGAAAAAGATGGCACTGTTGGCCAAAAGATTTGCTAAGAAGAACACCTCCTCCAACAGGCTGAGAACTTCCTCCTCAAACTACATGCAAAAGAACCATGATCAAGGATCTTCTAGGAAGGCATCTTCAGCAGAAGAAGCTCCTAAATGCTATAATTGCGGCAAGCCTGGACATGTGATCAAAGACTGCCGCCTCCCAAAGAAAAAAGATGCTAACTTCTACAAGCAGAAGATGTTGTGGAATAAGCAGAAAATGCTGATGGTGCAGAAAGAAGAAGAAACCTCTGCCATGATTGCTGAAAATGAGAACTGGGCAGAAGATTCTTCTGAGGAGGAGGAAGAGGAAGACAACTATGCTCTTATGGCAAGTGTGGAGGGAGATGAAATAAAGGGTGATGCTGCGATCCCCGAAAGCAAGTGCTCAACAAGCTCTGTAAGTACCTCCCATACTTCTTTAAATAATCAAATGCAGTCCTTACTTGAAAAGGACAATCTAATCAAAGAACTAAAGGAGAGACTAGACAATAATCATAGAGTTCTGAAACAGAATCTAGACCAAAAGTCTTCCTTAAGTATTCAACTTGAAAATGCAAAAGATCAAGTCAAAAAGGTGTCCTCAGATTTTGAAAGCTTTGAACTTAAGATAGCTGAATTAACTAAGAAATTTGAGGACAGTGAACGGGAAAAAAGCACAGCAAAGGCTGAATGCGATTTTTTGCATAACAAAAGAAGAACGCTTTTAAATAAAGTAAAAGAACTAGAAGATCTAGCTGCTAGAAGAGGTCAATCTGAACAAACTGTTTTTCTGCTTAACAGCAAACAAAAGGATGACCGATTCTACAATGCTAAAACAGGACTGGGCATAACCAACCCACGTAATCTTAAGAAAGTTAATTGCCTTCAATTCTATAACAAAGATTACATGGGACTAGGGTTTGGCGAGAAAATGTATTTTCGAAGTGATGAAGATTATGCTGAAGCAGAAGAAGAAAAGAGAAAGAAACCAAAACCTGCGATTTCTTGTGATTATCCCTCTGTAAATGAAAAACAACTTTCAGAAGAAAAACCTACTTCCTGCTTTAGTGAATGCCTTGACCCTTATGCCAAAGATATTCCTCACATAGGACACCCTCTAGACCCTCCCCCAAGAGTTGGTATTGCTAAAACTAGTGAGGAACCATGTATTTTTCCCATGGCTCAAAAGCTCAAAAACCTACAAAAAACTCTTGATAACGAGAGAGAGAGATTTGAAACTGAAAAGAAAGGTTTTGAGCGCAACTGGCAGGAACTTCTTCAAAAATTTAATGATTTGAGTGAGAAGTTTCATGCTAAAACAGACCCTTCTACGACCAAGCCTGACAGCTCACACACCTCACATGAGAAAAACAATGCTTTTAAAGGTTCGTCCACTCATCTCTCTTCTCCTTTGTTTACAGGGAAGGAAGTGAATAAGG